GCGACTCAGCGGCTCGACGGCTCAGTAAAAAGGCTGCCTTTGTGGAGTGACACTGACTTCGATCGTTGCTTATTGGTGCAGCGGAGAGGAGAATTGAGTTGCTTGTTCGTTGCTTTGGAGTTACTTTATTGAATTCGTCACTAGAGATGTCAGACAATGCGAGGAAACCATCTCCTCGTGAGAGGAGAGTTGCCGAGGCCAGGACAGATTTGAACACGAGAGTGTCTCAACAAGCTAGACCGTTGACGCCAGTCCCCAGAGCTGGCACTACTGGAACCCTTGCACCTAGGCCGCGTCGTCCTGAGTTAGAGCGAAATGTTGTTGTCATCATCGATAGTCGATCTGAATCATCGCATAGGCATCACGATGACATGAGGGGAAGGGATGATCACTCAGGAGCAAATCGTATGCGTTCGCGAGAAGAGAAGGAGAAAGGCAGTGTTGGCAATGAGGACTTGAACAGATCGAGGCACGCTTCAACTCCTCGATGTGATCGTGTGATGACGACTTCCACTATTCCTTTTGGTACGAAGGAGTCCTTTGGTGATGCTGCGCGGGCAGCGTCGCATTTGTCCCAGAATGTCTTCCTAGGCACTGAGTTTCCTCCTCCGGGAGAGATGTCAAAGAAGAGATCTTACTCAAGCATGGCCTTTGATTGGATGACGGTACGACTTCGTGGCAACTCTCGTGAGATAGCGATTTGCCTTTTTCTTCTTCCTAATCTTGTAACTTGTRTTCCGTGATCTGTTCCTTGGTTTGGCAGTTCCTTTCTTCGCTTAACAAGCTCGCGATTGACTATGAGGTGACTGTGCGCTCGCTGACTCGTCAGCTTGCAAATGTTCAGAAGGCTTGTGACGATCATAAGAAGTAGAAAAGGGATGCAGAGGATCGCGTTGCTACTCTCCAAGCTGCTATGAAGGAAACCGAAGATAGACGTCGCGAGATGGATGGAACGTTCACGGAGTCTGAATCCGAGAGGAAGCGCCTTCAGAAGGAAGTCTGTGACCTTACCACCCGATTAGATGTTGCTGCCAAGCTTCAAGATACGGRTGTYCAGCGGGCTYTAGAAGAAGCYAYGCYCGAGCTGGTGGCAAGGTACGAGGCGAAGATCGATCGCGCCAAAGAGAAGATCAAAATGATCAATGACCAACCGAGGATCGATATAATTGATCTTGCTGAAGTCCGGAGTAACATTGAGTTCATAAATCTGCTTCAGAGTGACAAGGCGCCTGATCTCGGTGAAGAGTTCGTTGACTTTGTGAAGCAGGAGGCAGACCTATCGCTCGTGGATGGGGTATTTGCTAAGCATGTGCTTGAACTTGAAGGGATCCTTAAGGATTCGCCTGCTGGCACGACTGATGATCGAGTTGTGGACTCGAACGCTGATGCCGTTGAAGAGGTGGRTGACTCAGATTCGAGRTRTTCGAGTTCGTCAAGCGATGATAACTCGTCGAACTCTGCGGCGGTGATTCCTTCTGAGCAAGCCATTGAGATTGTCGATGACGTTGAGGAGATCGAGCCTTAGTTGATTTTTATTTTAGCACTTTGTCGTACTTTTGATTTCAGACTTAGCATTTGATTCAACTTGGATGGTGTTCATCCTTTTGTTCAGAATTATCATCATACTTGCCTTACGTTATTTGAGATAACGATTTGAGTTAGGATGATGCTTATCCTTGTTGTGAGGCAGGCTGTCGTTGATTGGGTTATTTCCAAAGATCAACTATATTGTTGTTGGGACCTGTAATTACTTAACTGGGTTTTCTAATGATCATTTCGCTTTATAGGCAAGTCTGCATCGATACGCCCGCTCCGAAAATGACCACGTTATTGCGTAATGACCAACGAAGTTGTTGGGTTTTTGAGATGAACATTCTGGTTTACGGATATGTTCCCGTGAACAAGTCCGCTCCAGCAATGAACATAAGATTTAGACCAGCGATTWGTTGTGTGCTGGGTTTCTGAGTTGAACATTCTGGTTTACGGATATGTTCCCGTGAACAAGTCCGCTCCAGCAATGAACACTGAAATTAGACCAGCGATTTGTTGTGTGCTYYGTTTCTGAGTTGAACATTCTGGTTTACGGATATGTTRCCGTGAACAAGTCCYCTCCAGCAATYAACYCTGAATTTATATAGCGCGCTTTATCCACTGGGGATGTYAAGAGTTCGTCACTGTGYCCAACAGCGGCGAGATAACAAAGAGAAGAAGTCTGTTTTAGAGAAGACTTTGAATGAGTATGCAAGTAAACACTTGGCTTTTGATAGTAAATTRTTTTTATAATTTTGCAAGTGAACACTTGGCTTTCGATTGACTAAAAACGGTAAGCCGTGTACGGTGAA